AGGGGTGCCTGGGTGGCTCAGATGGTTGAGCGTCTGCCTTTGGCTCAGGTCGTGATCCCAGGGTCCTGGGATCGAGTCCCACATCGGGCTCCCTGCTAGGCGGGGAGCCTGCTTCTCCCTCTACCTCTGCCTCTCTCTCTCTCTCTAACTCTCATGAACGAATAAATAAAACATTTTTTAAAAAAAGAATAATACAGAGAATGCATTACGAGAGTTTAAAGTAGGGGTGGAAAATTCAGAGGAGGTTTTTCTGTAGGAGATGAGCTGAGTTGAGCCTGGATGATTGGGATGGTACAGAAGAGGAAGGAGAGCAGGCCTGTGGGGAGAAGGAGGCAGGCAAGTCTGGCAGGCAGCAGGCAGTCCCAGCAGAGTTGAAGCAGTTTGTCTTAGGATTGGGAGAGAAAGTTCGTGTTATTTGCAGGCAATGTGGAGCCCCTGAATATTTGTGAGTAGAAGCATCTAACCATATGGGTCAAGTTTTCCCAAGAGGTTACACAAAAGGGAAGCTGGAAGAAACTTCTAAAAATACAATCATTCTGGGCCCCACCCTCTAAGGCTGGTTTCCCACAGTTCCCCGTGGCCTTTCTAATGGGTCATTTCCACCAGTGTTTGTATCCACCCAGGACTCCTCTTGTTGCGACTGAAAGCAGAAAGCAGCTTAGGGAGCAAAGTGGGGGCTTAGTCCAGGTGACGAAGGAAGAATGCGGGGTGGGTCTGGCTTTCAGAGCGCAAACTTGTCTGTCTCAGGATCTGTTTCTCTTAACTGCTCATTTCTGCCCCCTACTGTTCAGCTTCAGCCTCAGCCTCCACTTGACCCCAGAGCCCATGGGCTCTTCCCACAAGGTGGCAAATAACTTCTCTCACGTCAGTTTTTAAAGTTTTTATTTAAATTCCAGTTAGCTAACATACAGGGTAGTATTGGTTTCAGGTGTGCACATCGTGATATATGTAACTATAGTGATTCAACACTTCCGTACATCTCCCATGTCGGTCTTTCAGGAAAGAACTAGACTTTTTCCCACTAGCTCCAACAAAACCCCTAAGATGGCCAAGCCTTGACTAACTTAGGTGACCTGCCCATCCTGGGGACAATCAGTGTGGCCAAAGAGATGTGTTGCTCTAGTTGACCAGACCTGAGTCGTGGGCAGAGGACCATGTTCTGGAAAGTAAGTCAGGACTGGAGTTTTATTTGTATAAGTTGAAAGTGCATAGTTCTAAATAACCCCCATCCGCTCCTTTTTCATCCTCCCTACAGCCCTGAAGCTGTTGGAGCTACATTCCACATATCAGATGGGGCCCCTGATGGCCCCGGAGACCACTCAGGGCACAGTGCTGCACTGGTGGGCCCACAGCTGGCCCCTGTACTCTCTCCACACACCAGTAACCTCCCTGCACTCTGTGGTCCAGGAGCTAGAAAACCTGGCCAAGGGCCCCCACACCATGGTAGTTCTGAGGCTGGGTCCCCATATTGCCACCTTCACTCCATTTATCTTTATCAGGTGACTGGCAGGGATCTGGGCAGCTATGGCTGAACTGTTGGCCCGGAACTCTGCACTCCGTGGTCATCAAACTGGCCAACACCAACTACAAGTCTCTGCGTGGCAGCTACTGGTTCACCCTCTAGGTGAACCGGTTCCTCTGAGCTGCCTTTGGTGGACACCAGGGAAATAACCCCCGGTCAGGCCCTGCCCCATGGCATCCACCCAGGGTGGCTCATCATCTGCAACAAGGTGGACTTGCTCCTTTCCTTCATCTGCCCCACCTGAGTGCTTCTGCGGGTCCTGGGACTGTGTGGATGGAGGGCCTGGGACACAGTTGTGAAGAGGACCAGTGCCATAATAGGATTTCTAGGGTAAGAGCAGGTGCCACTGACTTCTCTTGCCTGGAAGACCACAGGAGCTTCCGCACCAGTCCAGCTGATTCTATTCTTGCCCCACTCTGACCACTTCTCCTCTCAGAACGAGAGTAGTTACTTTAAATGAGACCAAGTCATTAGCCTCCCCAGAAGCCAAAGCCTTCTATCTCAGTATAAATCCAAATCCCTAACTGGGGTCCATGATGACCTGGCCGAACTCTGCATCCTCATTTGTTGTCACTCTCCTCTGGCACTCTGCAGTCCAACTCCATGCTCTTCTTGCTGCTCAAGCAGGTCAAGCCATCCTGCCTCAGGACCTTTATACCTGCTGTTCCTATGCCTGGAATGCACATCTGCCAGATCCTAATATGGTTGGCTTTCTTCCCATTCAGTTCCCTGATTAAAAATTATCTCCTCAGAGGCTTTTCCTGACCACCTTAAATAAAAGAGGCCATCTTCCCATCCAGGCACTCTACCCCCATCTTGCCTTCCTTTTCTTTCATATCACTAAACACAATCTAATTATTTGGTTTACTATTATTAGTTGTCTTTCTGTCTCTCTAGGATGTAATCTCCATAAGGAACAGGGAGTTTGTCTAGCTTGCTCACTGTTGCATCCCCTTGAGCTAGGGGCAGTGCTTGAATCATTGCAGGTGTTAAATATTCCTCAAAGGAACAGATGGATGAAAGTCAGATGAATAAGGTGTTACTTCTATGCCCTGCACCTTCTCTCCGCAAGCCTCCATCTTATGAGAAGCAACTGGCCAAAGTGCCCCCTGTTGCACTTGCTAATTACCAAATCTGCACAATTATCGCTACTAACGATTCACATTCACATTAGGGCTTTATGATTTTCTATGCAGTTTTCTATTTTTATTTTGGACGACACTCCCAAGAACATTCTCCCATTTTACGGGGGCCCCAAGAGGTGGCACACGGCTGAGCCAGTCCTTGGTCCTAGTTTGGTTGCAGAACCAGTGATATAGATGACTGTCCTCGCTGGAAAACCGGCCTCTTGCAAGGGCTGGAAGCGATCACCCCTGACTCCTCCGACTCGGCTGACAGGGCGGTTCCTCTGGTCTTCTGGACGTCAGTTCCCTGGCTGAGGGGCTTCCCTGACCACCCTAAAGGGGGCTCCGTGACCAGGCACGACCACGTCCGCAGTTGCTAGGACCCTCTTTCGGCTCCGCTCCTGGGCCACCGGGTCTTCGCTCAGCGCTTGCCATGAGTCTTCGTCTCCGTTGCGTTCAAACACATCGCCCGCCACCACCACGGTGCCCAGGGCCGTGCCCGCCACCACCACGCTCACGTCCCGCTGGCCCCCATGGCCCGGCGTGGCCCACACCTCGAGCCCCGGGCCCAGCTGCAGGGGCCGCTCCTCACCTAGCCCGTGGGGGAGGTAGCGGCCCCCGGGGAGGCAGAAGTCGTGCGAGACCAGCAGAGCCGCCCCGGGAAAAAGCCCCAGGTTCCCGATGTGATCCGAGTGTCCGTGGGTGCCCACCACCAAAGTCACGTCTCCGGGGGCCACGCCCTGCCCCGCCAGGGCCACCAGGAGCGCCTCCCGAGCCCAGGGGCCCCCCGTGTCCACGAGAATGGGGCCACGGGCCACCTCCTCCAGGGCGGTCTTCGCCCCGCCGCCCTCGGGCGGGGACTCTCGGGTGCTGGAGGCCGAGGCCCAGGCCTGAGGCAGCACAAGCGTCACGGAGCCGTCGGCGCGTACCGCATCGTCGACCCCCTCCGGCTCCGCGTAGCCCTGCAGCAGGACCACCACGGAGTAGGGGTCGCCACTCACTAGCAGAGGGGGCTCCCCGGGCAGCGGCTCGGTCCGCACCAGAGCGCTCATGGCAGGATCGGGACGGCTGGGGAAGGGAAATGGGGATGTGGGCGACTGTCCAGTCCCTTGGGGTTCCCACGTGCGCCCTGCCTCCTCCAAAGTAGCTCCTTCCAAGTCTGTTCTTTGCCACCCCCTTCGCACCCTTAAGATGGTATCGCCCCAATGCCCTTCCGTAGATGGTATCGTCCAAGCTGCCCATAGCCTGAACCCGCCAGTCCCTCAGTGTCTTCGGCCGTCGCCACACTTCTCATGCGGTAGGTCCTCACCCATCATCCCCCAAAGGATATCGTCTTTATTTCCCTCATTCTAACCGAGGCGCTCCCCGCCCTGGACGTAGTTTCACCACTTCTAATTCTTGCCTCACTCCATAGTTCGAGCAGCCCTCGGAAAAGCGCGCGAGATTTTGTCCTCTGCGAGCTCCCGTAAACCCGGAGTATGGTGGCCGAGCCGAACGCTGATTTTTAATTCCGGTGCATTCTCCCGCACGCGCCGAGGGGGGTTGCACAGACCGGCGCCTAGATGTTTATCAGCCGGGGAACCCCTGCCAGCCTCCCTGGACTGCAAATTACAAAGCACCATTAGCTTCTAACAGCCGGCGACCAACGGCTCTATTCTCTGGGCGCCGCTATATCGGCCAGGTATGACGTGTGCAGGACAGTTGTTTGAAACTACGGGGCCAGGTGATACTTAAAAAATTTTTTTACTAGCGCTGTAGAAACTTTGGCACCTGTGAAATTACATGGTCGGCCCTCGGTGAAATTAGTATGAAGTAGACTAAATATCTACCCCACCTAACTTAACATCGCCCCATCCTCATAGTGTCCCCTACTTGTTCAGTTTGTCGGCTTGTAGCCTAGACGCAGGCAGTGTGTATAGGTTGTAGAGAATGTCCACGCTGCCTTCTTCTTGTAAGGGTCTAGAAACAGACCCCGAGGGCAAAGTGCCTTTCCCGAGACCCACAGTTCCAGTGCCTTCACTGACCTCTGGGTGGGGTGGGAAGTAGGAGAGAGATTTAAAGGGGAAAGCCTTCAGTACTGTCACCACACACACACACCTGCCAATTAAGGGGCCAGATGGCAGGCAGAGGACTCATCTGTTGGAGCAGGCCTCCCGCCTACTGCTCCCACCTTTGTCCCCATAGCCACGCCATGCTGCACCACCAAGATCCTGCCTGAGACCAGACAGCTACAAGCTCTGGGATGGGATCACTCACACATACACACACACCCTTATGTGGAGCAGGGAGAGCTCAGACTTCAGAAGGTTCTTCTCCGTGACTCCTGCCCCTTCCTGGGGGCTCAAAGGCAAGAGTCAAAGGTCATCTGGGTCATGCTTGGAGTGCCCTGGTGTGTTGATCATCTCTTCCTCCTCTTCTTCTTCTTCCTCCTCCTGATATTGCTCCTCCTCCCCTTCTGTCTTCTCTTGCCTATCCGTGATCTTCTCCTTTCCGGTCCAAGTTTCCTGTAGACACGCTAGGTTGGGTGATAGAAAACAATTTCGATATTAATCTGGGGGGTAGAGGAGGTTGGGGCCTGGCAGGAAAGGGGCCAGCCCCACACACTTACCAGTTTCAGCAGGGGGGAGCACATGACCTTCACAGAGAAAATGCTGTAGGGGCTGCTCCTGATGATGGAAGTACCAGTCTCCCACGACATCTTCAAACTCCTCCAGCATCGTCTCACACTGATCAAGTGGAAGGGTCAGAAAGGAATCCACTCTGCTGGGCTTTGGAAACGCTCCTCTCTGCTCTTCACTCCTGTCTGCCCACCCCACCCTAAAGAGCAGGTAGCCAGGAGGCTAAACTTGGCGTCCGAGATGGTGGGAGTCCCACTCCGCCCCCTTCTCCTGCTCAGAGGCGGAGTTCCCGAGGATCCAGGTCTCCCCTCAGGTTCCCTTCTCATTGCCCCGGGCAGTGCAGTAGCCTGTCCTACCTGCTTCTTGAGGAACGTGACTTCCACGCTGGGCTCGTCCCATAGCTCCAGAGGGATCCCCAGATCCACCTTCACCCCCTTCTGCACCAGACCTTTCAGCGTTGCCATGGTCTGACTCTGACCCTGAGAGATAGGAATTTGGGATCAGCCGGGCTCACTGCCCCACCCATCCTTCCCCTTTCTGCCACAGCAGCATTGGTCAACTACCAGAGACTCCATGAGGGCGACATGAGGGAGTCTAACAATGGGGAGGGGACATCCTCCAGAGGTGGAGGGAGATGGGTCCCAGGGGATACCCGTTGTTGTTTCTGAAATGTGGGATGCTGCCCTAGGGAAGAGTCTGACCTTGGCATATCTCAGTGAGCCCTTGCGCTCGGCATGAACACTGTAATCCAGGATCCGCTCACACAAATTCTCCAAGGCCTCTTCCAGCCTTGTCTCTCTGTGGGACGAGGGGAAACAAAGATTTCTTGGATGCTGTAGGAGCTCCCAGGGCTCCCTCAGGGGTCGGAAGGTAGATGAGCAACAAGAAGAACTCACGAGACACTGTAAGGGATGTGTTTCTTTCTCTTGCCAGTGTCTAGCACCTGCCCCAGCTCCAGCACCTCTCGAGATCGGCCAGTGCGACTCAGCTTTTCCTGTAGCTCCAGGCTCAGCAGCTTACACACTAGATGTCCACAAGGATGTGAAAGATAAACAAACATTCCAGCAACTCATTCTGTAGATGAGCAAAAGCGGCAGACTAGAGCCAGACTGGCTGGGTTAGAATCCTGACTCAGCCACTTAATAGCTATGTGGTAATTCTGCTGTGCCTTGGTTTCTGCATCTCTCAAATGGAGATAACAATATAGTTGAACCTCCTTCATAGGGGTGTGGTGAGGATTAAATAAATCAACCTCTGTAAAGCCCCTGTAATAGTGCCTGGCATACAGGGAGCACTGTATAAGTGTTTGCTTTTATTCTGCAGTTATTTATTGAGCTCCTGTATGCATGAGAGCAATAAGACCCATGATCCCTATCCACGGGACATTGCTGATGTAGTTGGGGACAGATAAAAAATGATGACAATGTGGTGTGATGGGCCCTACACTAGAGGTTCACAAGAGATTTAATCTCTTTAGGAAACGCAAAATTCATTCAATGGTCATTTACTGAATTGCTGCTAGCTTGTGATTTCCTTAAGGATGAGCATTGCATATGTTCCACCACTGTCTTCCAGCAACTGGCACCTGGCCTGGCATGAGGTGGGTCCCAAGAAAGGGGGTGGCCTATACAGAAGTGCCAAGCAAGCTAAACACAGGGCAAGTTAACAAAAGTGCCTTAAATGTTCCAGGCACTATGCTAGGACCTCGGAGATACAGGTGCTCTTCTTCCCTCCAAGGGCTTACAATATAGTGGGAGGTGACAGAAAAGGAAGAAGGCTTCCAAAGGAATTGACATCTAAACTGGGTCTTGAGAATCAAAAACAGAAGGGAGAGGGTTATTTCAGGCAAAGGGAAAAAGTGTGCTGAGGCACAGAGTGCAAGAGGATAAGGCAGGCTCAGTGACAGCTGAGAAGTTCAGTGTGGCTGAATCATGGGCACTTTGAGGATGGGAGTTGAGACAGAAATATAAGAGCGATGGGGGCCACACAACAAAGAGACTTCTATGCTGTGCCAAAAATGGGTGTATTCTGACCACAGCAGGAGGCCTACAGAGGTGTTAGAGCAAGGAGGAGAGGCGAGGTAGGCTCAGGTCATGCAGAACACCAATACTGAAATGCAGGGTGGAGTGGAGTGAAAGGAAAAAGAATCCAGGGAAGAAATTAAGGTCAGGAAGGCAACAAACTAGGGAACCAGGGAACTCAACGGCCCAGCTCTGAAGTGTTTCCCCCCCACCCCACCCAGTCACCACCGTCATGCAGCCACATAAGATGCTGCTCACAGTAAAATCCGTAAGTACCCTCTGCAAAGCCTCACACGTATGGGGAACCTCCTCCATTTCTGTGGCCTCCTCTTTATGAGCTTCGAGGCCTTATTTACTTACCCCCAAACCCTCCCCAGGAGAGCATGGGACCTGTAATTTGAGAGCGTCTCTGCAAGAGTGGAGCAGAGGACGCTCATAAGGTATGAGCCTCACACCCAGCTCCTGCAGGCTTCCCAGGTTTAGGTTTAGTGTTATGGGGGGAAACAGACTTTGAATGCTCAGTGGGTGGGTGATCCTGGGCAGTCTCTGAACTACAGTTCCCACAGATCACTGGGGCTACGCAAGCGAGAAAAAGGACTTCCTCTGAATGCCCTATGGGAATTGTAGTGCCACAGTTGTGGGGTAGCGCTGCACATTCCCTCCCTTGACCCCCTTCGAATTCAGCCAAGCTCCATCAGGATCTCCCTCAGGTCTTAAAGGAGATCGAGTGACCCACCCATCGCGGGCCATTTGGTCCGGTCCAGACTAAGGAGATGGGCAGAGGGATGCGAACAGGGGCCACTCCCTTTTTAGATACCTTCGCATTTGCTGGGCAAGCGTTCTGTGTCATCGTCTTCCTCCTTCGGCGTCCCAACCCAAGCGCCATACACAGCCAAAATGAAAAGCAACATTCCCAACCGCACAGGTCCCATGACAAAGTGCTGTCCACAACCAACAAGCCCTTGCCTTCAAACCAACTTCGGGAAGGCAGCGGGCCCTTTAAGTTCCGAGGGGGTCGGAGGGAATTTCCATCCAGCCTGGCTTGGGAGGCGCACGCGCAGTCCCGGTCCGGAAGGGGGTGGGGCCTCATTGCGCTCCCAGCTCTCCCGCTTCGGTTTTGCGGCGCCTGTTAGGGTCCTGGCCGCGGGGTAGCGAAAGTATAAGCTGAAGTAATTGCAGCAGGAGGGTGTGCTCCTTGCACGTAGGGAGAAAAACCCGTTTTTTATCCCACTTCAACTCGTGAGCCTAGGAGATTCATTCCGGCTCGGGGAAGGGGCAGTGACTTCCTCTCCGTCTCTGCCAGGACCTGCTCCCGGGAGGGGGCGGGTCCAAGATGGCGCCGAGCGCCGGGTGAGCGGTGCTTTGGCGGCGGTGAGAGACTTTCTCTGCGTGGGGCGTTCGGCTGGCGGGGGCGGGTCTGAGAGCTACCCGGGACTAGGCCCTCTGAAGGGCTTGTGTGGGAGCCTGGAGGAGGACGGTGGGTTGTGTGTCCGTGCGCTTGGGGACTCTGTGTGTGCGTGTGTGTTTGCATTGGAGGATGTTGGGGGGATGAGGTGGGCTCTCAGCGCCTTCTTCCGCGCTGTACCCATTCCTTGGGGAGCTTCGACTCGCTTCCTTGCTGGGGAAGCCACTACCCACATCTAGTTAAAGGTAACCCTTTTCTGTGAAGCTTTCCTGCCGACTCCACTGACGTGAAGGTGTCCTGAGGTCGTAGCGTGTTTTGCGAGCTGTTACTGGCAGTCGGTACGGAGGGTATTGAAGGCTTAGTAAGAGTTCACCGGTGACCTGGGTTACAACAGCGTCTTGTATACCCGGCGCCAGGCACAGAGTATGTGTTGAATAAATGTGTTCCCTGAACATAAGACTTAGCGGAGGAGGAGACCAGATTCTCTTTCGCTTCCGTGCTCACTCCTCCAGCACGCCCCCATCAACACCCCGCAGTCAGTCTAAACACTTTTGACAGTAGTCTTCCGAATGCCAACTTCAAGCGAGCCACTGCCCTTTAGGCCACAAAGCAGGTTCCAAGCTTGGACCTATATCTTGTTCATCTTGATAATCGTGGTACCGTGAATTTATTGAGCACCTACATCTCTAAGCCTTATAATTCACTGATTTATTCAACAAATGATTTACTGAGTACAGTGGCTCAGGCACTAGTGCGGGATCTTGTAATACATCAGTGAGCATAACACAAAGATTTTTGTCCACCTAGTGGGGGGTGGAAAGGGAAGGTGTGGTGGTGATAAACAATTAGAAATGATAGAGTATATATTAGTAGATGTTAAATGCCATGAGGGGGAAAAGCAGAGTGGGATTGGAGTGTGGTGTTGAACAGGGTGAGGGGAGTAGGCAGCCAAGCTGGCGTCTGGGGAAGAGCATTCAAGGCAGAAGGAAAAGAGCAAAGGCCGTAAAGCAAGAGCTTCCCTGTGTGGTTTGAACAGCAGGAGAACACTGGGGCTGGATCAAGATGGAAGAAGGAAGGAAAGCAGATCAGAGATGTGATGGGGAGAGGGCAAATTATGAAGGGCCTTATAGACTGTAATGAGGATTTTGGATCCTCAGTAAAATCCACAGATTTTACTCTGTGGTAAATGGGGAGCCACTACAGGCTTTTGAGCAGAGAAATGACCCAATCTGATTTATATTTTGACAGAATCACTCTGGCCGCTATGTTGGGAATAGATGTGGGAAGCAAGGGTGGAAGCAGGAAGACCTTGTCAGGAGACTCTTGAAGTTAGCCAGGCGAGAGATGATGGTGACTTGGCCATGCAGTGGGAGTGGAGGAATCAGGTTGGATCACCTGGCCGATTTGATGTGAGGGCTCACATATAGAGTGAGTGCCTGGAGAGATGGCATTACCATGAAGATGAAGAAAAATGGAGCGGGTGGGGAGGGAGATCAGGAGTTCAGTTCCAGAAGAGATTTTAAGTTGACAGTTTGATATACAAATCTGGTGTTAGGAAGAACGTTCTGGGCTGAGGATATAAACTTGGCCACCATCAGCCTATAAGCACTGTTGAAAATTGAGGATAGTTGACATCGCCAAGGGAGTAAGTGTAGCTACAGAAGACAACCAAAGACCGAGCCCAGGATGCTCCGGCATCAGGCAGATGACAAGAGGAAGAACTGGTCAAGGAAACAGAGGTGGCCAGTGAGGTAGGAGGGAAGCCAGGGGAAGGCAGTGGAGTAGAGTTTTCAGGAGGGAGTAGTCAGCTATAGTGTGTGCTTCTGGCAGGTCAGGTATGATGAGGAAGGAGAGTGGTCCTTGGATTTGGCAATGTGGAGTCATCAGTGACCTTGATGAGCAGTTTCGGGGACCTGGTGGTGTCAAAAACCTGCTTGGGGTAGGTGCAAGAGAGGAGAGGAGAAGAATTAGAAAGTTAAGATAACTTTCAGGGAGTTTGGTTGCAAGGAGGAGCCGAAAAATGTATATGTTGGAGAGAAAGTAAAATGAAGAAAATAGTTTTATATTTCTAATTGTGAAATACACATAAGCTCACCTTTCTAAACCATTTCAAGTGTACAGTATAGAGGGATTAAATATGTTCACATCGTTATACAACCATCACACCATCCATCCTTCCAGAACTCTTCATGTTGTAAAACTGAAACTCCATTGCCATCAAACGCTAACTCCCCATTCTTCCCTGCCCTAGCCCCAGCAACCCAATTCCACTTGCAGAGTCGATGAATTTGACTCAAGAACCTCATGTAAGTGGAATATATACCATTTGTTCTTTTTTGTGGCTGCCTTATTCCACTGAGCATCGTGTCCTCACGGTTCATCCATGGTATAGCACATGTCCGAATCTCCTTTTTAAGGCTGCATACTATTCCATTGTATGCATAGACCACCGTTTTGTTTTCTTAAGATGGGAGGAATAGGGCGCCTGGGTGGCTCAGTCGTTAAGCGTCTGCCTTTGGCTCAGGTCGTGATCCCAGGGTCCTGGGATCGAGCCCCCGCATCGCATCGGGCTCCCTGCTCGGCGGGAAGCCTGCTTCTCCCTCTCCCACTCCCCCTGCTTGTGTTCCTGCTCTCGCTGTCTCTCTCTGTCAAATAAATAAAATCTTTAAAAAAAAAAAAAATGGGAGGAATAGCTGCATTTCGTAGGCTGGCGGGAATGACTGATTGGGTAGGTTGAAAACTTGGTGGTGTTGCAGGGAGAAAGCAGTGTTGGGAATTGGTGAGAGGCAAGAGCGGCTTCCCTAACAGGTAGGGGGCGCGTGGGTGGCTAAGCGTCCAACTCTTTTTTTTTTTTTTAGATTTATTTATTTATTTATTTATTTATTTATTTATTTATTTATTTGAGAGAGAGAGCACAAGCAGAGGGGAGGGACAGAGGGAGAAGCAGACTCCCTGCTGAGCAGGGATCCCGACATGGGGCTTGATCCCAGGACCCTGGGATCATGACCTGAGCTGAAGGCAAATGCTTGACGACTGAGCCACCCAGGTGCCCCAAGCATCCAACTCTTGATCTCAGCTCAGGTCTTGAACTCAGGGTCGTGAGTTCAAGCCCTGTAATGGTCTCTGTGCTGGGTGTGGAGCCTACTTGAAAATGAAATACTTAAAGTAACAGGTGCGAAGGCAGAGGGTGTGGGCACCGGTGCTGTTAGGTTGGTGGATGTGGTGGGAATCTGTGGAGGTTCCTTCTGATGGCCTGAAGTAAGGAAGAGAGGCGGTATCACGTAGGACAGAGGGAGACAGTGCATGGAGGTGTAGTATGATTGTCTGGCAGCATGAGGGGCCTGTGTGAAGTTCATGGCCATGAATTTAAAGTAAGAACTGGTTGGGATGGTTGTGTGTTTTTTTATCACATTAAATTGTACAGGTGTTTAGGCTCAGAGTGGGAGCGTTGTATTTAACCATTACTGCGTTTGTGTCAAGCATGAATAATGGTGTAAGAAGGGGCAGGAGAGATGAAGGTATACACAAAACAACCTCAGGAAACAAAGCCTTTTCCACATTCCACATATGGGGAAGAAACCCAGAGGTGGGAGAATGTCAGTAATTTGCCCAAATAACCCAGCTGGAGAGTCTAGGGCCGGGATTTCAGTCGAGGCCACGTCCATTCACAGTGCCTCACTTGCACAACACTGGGCACAGAATGGGGAGCTCAGTACATTGTGTTGCACTGGATCGGATTACTACCTGCTTCCATTACACCCAGTGCTGACTCATGTTTCTTTTTTATCTCTTCTGCCCACCCCATCCCCCTGCCAGGGTCTCCGTCTCTCCACCCTGGGGTATCACTCCTTGGGGGAGGGAACAAGGGGCTCCAGAATGGCCGAGGAGAAGAAGCTGAAGCTCAGCAATACGGTGCTGCCCTCGGAGTCGATGAAGGTGGTGGCCGAGTCAATGGGGATCGCTCAGATTCAGGAGGAGACCTGCCAGCTGCTGACTGATGAGGTCAGCTACCGCATCAAGGAGATTGCCCAGGTAACCTGACCCGTCCGCCCAGCCCTGCGTCGTATCAAGGATGCTGCTCAGGCCCCCTTCTTCCTCAGGCTGTCAGGCTGATGTCTGTCTGTCTCCCACCCCCAGGATGCCTTGAAGTTCATGCACATGGGGAAGCGGCAAAAGCTCACCACGAGTGACATTGACTATGCACTGAAGCTAAAGAATGTCGAGGTGATTGGGGCACGCAGGACTGAGGTTGGGGGGCTGGGGGCAGGGTGGTGAGATCCGTCCTCCCAGATACTGTAGTTGCCTTCGGCCATGGCTCCTCAGGCTTCCTTCTCATCCTGGTGTCTCTCTCTCTCTCTCTCTCCTGATATAGCCGCTCTATGGCTTCCACGCTCAGGAGTTCATTCCTTTCCGTTTCGCCTCTGGTGGGGGCCGGGAGCTTTACTTCTACGAGGAGAAGGAGGTTGATCTGAGCGACATCATCAATACCCCTCTGCCCCGGGTGCCCTTGGACGTCTGCCTCAAAGGTTGGGGGTGGGGAGAGCAAGGCTCGGGGAGGAGGGAGAGGGGGTGGGGATCACAATGGAGAAGCCCGCTGCGTGAGATCGCTGGTGAGTTGCAGGAAGTGGGAACAGGACGGAAAACACGTTCCTAGTGTGGAGTGGCTCCTTAGTGTCCATGTCTAGCAGTTCAACTTGACACCTTCTTTCCTCGCAGCTCATTGGCTGAGCATTGAAGGCTGCCAGCCAGCTATCCCGGAGAATCCACCCCCAGGTAACCTTGTCCAAGCCCAGAGCCCACCCCTGTCTATCTCACCTTCCTTCTCCTTCCTTTCCATCCCCTGCCACTCTCCTCACTCCTGCTGTGACCGCTTTGCCACCAGCTCCCAAAGAGCAGCAGAAGGCTGAAGCCACGGAACCCCTGAAGTCAGCAAAGCCAGGCCAGGAGGAAGATGGACCCTTGAAAGGCAAAGGTCAAGGGGCTGCTCCAACCGATGGCAAAGGTCAGTACTGCTAGGCCAGGCCTCTCCTGGCTCCTGCCCCAAAGCCAGATGGCGAGCTGTGAGGAGGTCTCACTGGGCAGGGAGCAAAGGTTTTTCTGGTTCGAGGCCTCTCCTGGAGCTTTTGTTTTCAAACCTGTCTTCCCACTTCACCCAGGGAAAGAGAAGAAGGCGCCACCCCTGCTGGAGGGCGCCCCTTTGCGGCTGAAGCCGCGAAGTATCCACGAGTTGTCTGTGGAGCAGCAGTTGTACTACAAGGAGATCACCGAAGCCTGTGTGGGCTCCTGTGAGGCCAAGAGAGCGGTGAGGCCCCCCTGACCTGCTTTTACCGGATCCCTTCTCCTGGAAGTCCCACGAACCCGTCCTGGTCTCTGCCCCCACGTCACTCGCTCCCTCCCCCCACAGGAGGCACTGCAGAGCATCGCAACGGACCCGGGGCTCTATCAGATGCTGCCACGATTCAGCACTTTCATCTCGGAGGGGGTGAGAGGAGGCAGACGGCCAGCACCTAGGATGAGGTTCCGGGCAGTGAGGAGGCGGCAGGGGAGCTCATCTGAGGGTCTCACCGCCCCGTCACCTCCCTCCCACAGGTCCGTGTGAATGTGGTGCAGAACAACCTGGCCCTGCTCATCTACCTGATGCGCATGGTGAAGGCGCTGATGGACAACCCCACGCTGTATCTAGAAAAATATGTGAGCGGTCCTGCCCACCCACCTTTCCACCCCGGGTCGGGGCACCTTGCTGCCACCAATGGGAAGCCATTTGTCAGAATTAGCCAACTAGCCACTCCTTCCTTAGGTGCATGAGTTGATTCCGGCTGTGATGACCTGCATTGTGAGCAGACAGCTGTGCCTGCGGCCAGATGTGGACAATCACTGGGCACTCCGGGACTTTGCTGCCCGCCTCGTGGCCCAGATCTGCAAGCATTTCAGCACGACCACGAATAACATCCAGTCCCGGATTACCAAGACCTTCACCAAGGTGAGCAAGATTGAGGAGTGTAGGCGCACCTGGGTGGCTCAGTGGGTTAGGCATCTGGCTCTTGATTTCAGCTCAGGTCATGATCTCAGGGTTGTGGAATCTAGCGCTCATGCTCTGTGCTCAGCAGGGAGTCTGCTTGAGATTCCCTCCCTCTGTCTCCCACACACAAATAAGTAAATAAATTTTAAAGAATGAGGCGTGTGGACTATTTCACATCTCCATCCGAGGTTGGTGACCAGGACAAAGCTTTAGCCAAGCCAGAGGTGGATCAGTGTGGCAAGAGGAAAGGACACTGAAAACACAGGGTAGAGGGACAGGGCCTCGAACTCGGGCCCTCTCTGGAACATCTTAATGATCCACAACAAAAGTATGTTCATTAGACTTGGTCCTTAACAGTTAGTCTCTCAGGCCCCTTGACCCGGGTTTCTCTTCCTTCCCCTTACAGAGCTGGGTGGACGAGAAGACTCCGTGGACCACGCGTTACGGCTCCATCGCAGGCCTGGCAGAGCTGGGACACGATGTGAGGCCCCAGCAGCAGGGGGAGCACTGGGGGAAAGGAGGTATCCTGGGACCTAGTGGGCAAGAGCCCCACCCGGGAGACCCCAAGGTGACCCAAGGTTCCTGGCTTCTCCCCTTCCTTTCCAATAGGTGATTAAGACTCTGATTCTGCCACGGCTGCAGCAGGAGGGGGAGCGGATCCGCAGCGTCCTGGACGGCCCTGTGCTGAGCAACATCGACCGCATCGGAGCTGACCATGTGCAGAGCCTCCTCCTGGTGACCAGAGCCCCCATCTCTGCCCTCCCCCATCTTCTTCCCACTCCCACCCCCCCCACACACACACGGGTACAATGTTCAGCAAGCCACGGTTGGCTTTTATTCACTCATCCCATCTTTGCCTCATATAATCAGAGTCCAATACTGTTGTGCAGATGGAGACCAAGGCACCAAAAGCTTAAGTAAAAAATAAGAGATCTTAACTCTTAGCCCGGGACATCCCCTAGAAGGGACTGCCCCTGAGGCTTCTGCATCACTGTGCTCCGTTCCGTGCAAGGCATCACCCTGTGGACCAACCACCCGTTAGAAGTCACCAGTGTATTCAGCAAGTCACCCAGTCACATCAGTGGGTGCTTGTTGTCCTCTGAGGAAAAGCCAGCGGTCCTCACACACATGGCTCTCCCAGCAGTCCAGCCCGCGCCAGGAACATACTGAACTACCGGGCACTTTTTTCCTCACCCCTTCCCTGTCACACTTCCTGAGGGGCCCAGCCCTCCACCTACTGGCTTTTCTTTGCTTTCTCTGCAGAAACACTGTGCCCCTGTTCTGGCAAAGCTGCGCCTACCACCTGACAATCAAGATGCTTATCGGGCAGAATTTGGGTCCCTCGGACCCCTCCTCTGCTCCCATGTTGTCAAGGCCCGGGCCCAGGCTGCTCTGCAGGCTCAGCAGGTCAACAGGACCACTCTGACCATCACTCAGGTCCGTGATGGAGGAGGGGGGCTTGGTGAAGAAACGTGGGAGGGATGGGGGGAGGGGACTCAGATAAGAGCTTGCTTTTGGAAAACACGGGGCCCTCTGAGAGAGCAGTGTTGGGGGGAGTCTGGGCCCCCTTAGCGGATGATTCCCCAACCCCAGGGAGACCTGCCGAGAGCAGCAACAGGTGCCCTTCCTCTTCTTAGACCTTGACATTTTCTTCTCCCCTCTTCTTCGTGCAGCCCCGGCCCACGCTGACCCTCTCACAAGCCCCTCAGCCTGGCCCTCGAACCCCTGGCTTGCTGAAGGTCCCTGGCTCCATCGCGCTGCCTGTGCAAACATTGGTGTCTGCCCGAGCTGCCGCCCCGCCTCAGCCTTCCCCTCCTCCAACCAAGTTTATTGTAATGTCGTCCTCCTCCAGTGCCTCATCCACCCAACAGGTACTGGGAGCCACGTGGGACCTGGGATGGTGGGGAGCATGACCAGGGCTACCTCCAAGTACCCTGGGGGCCCCAGAGTGGAGCCCAGTTCCCTCTGGGCCCAGACAGGAGCGGGAAGGGGCATTTCGAGGAGGCCCGTGAGGCCGTGGCTGCTCATCCTGAGCATAGCTCTCGAGCTGGCAGCAGCCTCCAGGCTCCTGAGCATGTGAGCTATGATCAACTGTCCGGCTGGAGCAGGTGAATCCTCCCCCAGGCAGTGCCTTTCCTTTCTTCCCCCAGGTCCTGTCTCTTAGCACCTCAGCCCCTGGCTCAGGCTCCACCACTACCTCTCCTGTCACCACCACAGTCCCCAGCGTGCAGCCCATCGTCAAACTGGTCTCCACTGCCACCACCACACCTCCCAGCACTGCTCCCTCTGGGCCCGGCAGCGTCCAGAAGTACATCGTGGTCTCTCTTCCTCCTACAGGGGAGGGCAAAGGAGGCCCAGCCTCCCATCCTTCTCCAGCTCCTCCCCCATCCTCAGCCCCCTCCCCGCTTGGGGGCAGTGCCCTCTGTGGAGGGAAACAGGAAGCTGGGGATAGCCCCCCTCCAGCTCCAGGGACTCCAAAAGCCAATGGCTCCCAGCCTCCTGGATCTGGCTCCCCTCAGCCTGCACCTTAATGCTGTTGTATATCTGTCAACGTTCTTCTGTCCCTGACTCTCTCTCTCTCTCTCTGCGCGCGCACACACACACACACGCACGCAGGGTGGAAGGGAGTAATAGTTTGCTTCCTCCATGTTACTTTTTTTTTTAGATATTGTACAGCCAGTTCCTCAGAATAAAAGTTTGATTTGTAACTTCTGATCCACCTCAGTCCTTTCTGTGTCAGGTGCCACGGGAAGGTCGAGCTTGTCGACCAGGACTTGTCTCCTGGCCTCTTCAGCCTGATCCATAGCCTCGGGCCAGAAGGGTGGAAAAGACAGTATCCTCCTCTCCAGCTCTGCAGACAACCACCTTTGCTGCCTGTGTGCTCGTTTCGGGGAGCCTCAGACCCGGATGACATAGGCATCACTGTGGCTCAGGTGCCGCACCCACTTGTGGGGGTTGGCATTGCCGCAGGGTCTGAATGCCAGCCTGAGGAAGCGAACCTGGAGGCCGGAGCACGTGTGCCGGGGGAGTTCAAACGAGAGGCTGGCGGGACCCAGGCCCAGAGGGGCCGAGGTGGAGGGTGCTTGACCAGGAGGCCCGGGGAGGCCCGGAACATCCATCTGTAAGGGACGGAAGCCAGGGAGGGGTACCGAGGCCCAGAGAGGACGGAGGGCAGGGAGGCCCACCGCAGGGGGGGGGGCAGGCTGGGGCTGACCGTGCAGGTGGGGGAGAGGGTCTCAGAGAGTCAGCAGCTCGTACCTGGAAAAGGCCTGACAGCTGGGAGCCGCCCTGAACCCGAGGCAGGTCCCAGCGAAGGGCTCCCTCCCCCAGCTCCGCCGTCTGCTCGGGGCCGCTCAGCTCCTGCGACAGGCTGTAATTTGGAGAGGCACAGTGCTCAGTCCCTGCCCTCCTGGGGCAGGCCAGTTCCATCCTTCCCGGGGCCACCCTGTTGTCTAGGGAAGCTGGTGCGACCGCCTGAGCCCCCATGCCTCACCCACTAACCTGACCACCCCTCGTGGCAGGGGAAGGTGCAGCCTGACATTGAGAGCTTGGCTGCAAAGAAAAAAGGAACAGAGTCAGCCCCTGGAAGGCAGTGACCAGTTCCCACTCTTCATTAACGTCACAACTAGGGTTCAGCACTGTTACCCCATCCCCTTCCCGAGCCCTCCTGCCTCTAACTGAACAGGATTCTGAAGCCAGTGGATGCATCTGAAGGCGGGAGCAATAGGTATGTGGGCCCTCTGTCCTACCCCACGTGACAGAACTAGGCTTGGGTAACCCCCACTCATACCTCTTCGGGGGCAGGTCGCATCGTAACTTCAGATAAACCTGGAGCCTGGGTGGAAGGGCATGGTAGTGTTACTCGCTGGCAGCTCACCATCCCCGCCCCCCCCCCCCGGGGGCCTCCGTGCATGGCTGCTGGGTGGGTCATGCCCCAGGCAGTGAATCCACTAAGGGCTGAGTCCACGTTGGGGGGAGGGTGTCTTTTTCTGACTTGTATTCTCTTACCCCCATTCCTCCATAATGAGTTTTGGGGACATCTTTGTATTGGCTTAGACTTCAGAGAAGTTCCAGAGCAGGGAAACGGTCTCACCTGCCCGAGCCTCGGTCCCACTGCACAGAGGGAAAGAGCCGGAAGGGGAGCGGGGAGGGGAGGTCGTCTGAGAGTTGGTACCGCATCACAGTCAGCTGGGACCAGACAGGAACGGAGGTCAGTTTGGTCTCCTCACCCCTGAACTGCCTCCCTTCCCCGTGGTGGGTGGAACATGCTAGGCCAGCCCGATCCTGACCTCGCCCTGAGGGGGCTGCAGGCGCAGAATTCGATGAGACTCAAACTCTTCCAGAAGCACGGAGCTGTGAAATGAGACCTCATCCACCCGGATCCCTGGTCCGTAACCTGGAAGGAGAAAAAGTCTCCTCTTGGAACCCACGTTGTGGGAGAGGAGAGCAGGAGGGGAGAGCTGGGGGAGAACCTGTCTCTGTTCCACACGACTTCTGGCGGTGACCTCTACGTAGGACAGAGACCTACTTTCTTCTCACCTCTCAGTTCTGACTTCCCCACACAAAATTCTTCTGTCAAGCCGATGCGCATCTCTGTCAGAGAAAAGAACATCAGAAAAAGCTGCCAGATACCACCATACACAGCACCAAGGAGACTGCCCCACACCCCAGCCTGGGCCAAGCCTGCAGACTTCTCACCAGAGCCACTGGGAAGAAAGCTCTTGAGGCGGATCTCTCCCTGCACGTCCACCTTCAGCAGCGAGCCCTAAGAATGGCGGAGAGCTCAATGCTCAGAGGTGACGCTCCCCCCCCCCCATACATTTCCCAAATGCCATCTGTCCTCAGCTCCAGGGTTGGGGGCCCAAACTTACATTAGATGCTATCAGCACAGACAATCTCTCGACCACATCCAAAAATACTTCATTCTTTTGGCTCTGAGGAAGAGAGGGGATTTGGGCACTTGGAGGCTGAACGGCCTGTGTTCTAAAGTGGACAGGCAGAAAGGACAGGGTAGTGGAGGCTAGGACCCTGGGGTGGGGACACAGGGGTAAGGGAAGGGATTATCCACATCTAGCAACACCAGGATCTCCATCTCTGGTATCCCAGAAAAAAAATGAGAGGGCCTGACTCCATCACGCCCACTCTCACCTGGTCAGAGCGGCTGGTCAGGACGGGGCGGCTGGCTGCACTGCTGGGGGCCACTTTGCTCTGCTGCGTCTCGGCCCCAAACTAGAAAGCCCCCAAAGCAACAGCCTTCAGGTTTGACACTACCCACCAGCCCTCCTCCTCCTCCTTCCCTTGACTAACCAAACCAACACTGCTGAGGTCAAAGAGGCTGAAGGGCTTGCTGACCACAGCCTCCGTCTGGATGAAGTTCCTCAGCATCTCCATGGACGTGGTCTGTACGTAGCCATAGTCCTGCGGGCAGGGAACAGCCTTTGAATGGTCAGCGGAGGAAAGGGGTGAGAATGAATGGACTCAGCCTCCCCTTCACGGCACACATCTGCAGGGCCTGGGCGCGGTGGGGGAGATCCCTGGCCTCACCAGCACTTCATCCAGGAGTTCGTAGACAAGAGCCACGTTGCGGGAGATGGTCCCCTCGCTCAGGGAGCCACAGTAATCGCCCAGGAGAGTGGCCAACCTGAGAAAACAGGATGGAGTGTGCATATCCTCCTGCGGTCGCATCCCCGCGCCCAGGTGCCCAGCCCTGCCCTCCTCACCGGGAGAGCAGCTCGAGGAGGCTGAAGGGAGAAATGTTTTCTGAAGTCGTGGCCACCAAATAGAGGCCGCTGTGTCTGATGTGAATGAAATGACGGTCATCGTGGTGCTGGGGCAGAGGCGGGGAAAAGAGCTGTGATTAAGGGCCCGCGAGACTTCCTAGCGGTGGGCCTTGGGGCGAGCCAGAACCCGCCCCCCGGGGCCCAGCTGCTTAATGTGTCAGCGGAGGTAGCCCCCCACCCCCGTAACTAGCCCGGAGTGGCAGAGCTGCGCCCGGTATAGTGTTAGCGCTCGAGAAACGGTCGCTCCGAATATTTGGCAGAATGTACCCCCATCCCCAAGCGGAAGCTCTCAGGGAAACAGCCCCGGGAGAAAGGAGGCGCCCCCTACCCCCAGCCCGCCGGGAGCCTGCCCCACGCCCCGCCACTGGTTACCATGACAACCGGGGACTCATCTCCGGGTAGTCCCGTCAGCTTCCGGTAGAAGAGCTCGGCCACATCCCGACCGCCACTGTCCCCGCGGACTGAGCGGGTGGAAGGACAGCTAAGGAGTCGGCGACACAGGCTGGCTCTGGGGCACTACTCCCACCCAGGCCCCCCTCCCGCCCCGCAGGTCAAGGATACAATCCTTGTAGATGAGCGGGTCCCCTTTGGAGGACAGAATGAAGAACTGGGAGATCATGGCGGTTCTGGAGACTAGGCAAGGAGACAACGAAAGTTGGGCCTGCCCCGCCCTGCGGCCGCGGAACAAAGGGACGCACGTAGGCTGTCCCTTTAAGAACAATTTCTCCTCCGCCCGTGCCAGCTCGGACCGCGGGAAACCCAGCGCCCGCCCCGCCCCGCCCCGCCTTTTCCTCCCGGTGCCCGCGCCGCTGCCCCGTCACTCAGACCAGTCTCGCCGGAAGATTGGCCGAGGCTGGGATAGGCGGGCGAGTGGGAGGGGCGAAGGGCCTCCTCTCTGATAGGCCCACACGCAGCGCCACCGGTCACGTGGGGCGCGACGTTTCGCGCCAATTTCGGTTGGTCTGCAGTAGCCCGCCGCGCGGACGCTTTCTGCTGTCCCAGGAGTGAGGTCTTCGAACGCGCCAACTGCTGCCTCACGGGCGATGGCAGTTAAGGACTACGTGCTCGAGAAAGGTGAGGATATGCAAACTTGAGAAGAGCGTCCTGCGTGGGAAGCCTCCTGGCCAACACCTGTTGGTGTGAGCCGGCGTCCTGGGGGGCCGGGCTCGGCGCGCGAGGCCAGAGGCAGGGTAGGGAGGCAGCGGGGTCGAGACAGATGGTGCCCTGGGAAGCGCGCGGGCCACCGAGGTCGAAGAGCCGGTCATCTTGTTTGGGGAAGGAGTGGGGGCTCGCGGGGGGGGGGGCGCGGACAGCCGGGCTGGGGGCTCCAGAGGGGAGGGTCGCGTCCAGGAGAGACCAAGGCCTCAGGAGACCCCAAGGGTCTTCCGTCCGCAGGGACGGGCATCCCGGGTCCGCTTCCCTCCGCGCCCTTAGGCATTCGGAGCGCCCGCGTCCTCTGGAGACTCGCCGGAGTCCCGGGGGCGGGCGGGCCCGGGCCGCTGCGCGCCGGGATTGGCCATTTTAGGCCAACCTCCAAGCGGAAGTGAAGGCGGGCGGAAATTGCGCGACGTCGCGGGAGGGAGTGTCGTGTGTAAACAGTGTCCTTCCGCGCGGCGGCCTTGGGGAGAGCTGCTCAGGGATTGGGGGCGTGCCTGGAATTGGGGGGCTTCGCGGGAGCCCGAGAGAGGAGGTGGTGGAGTGGGACGGAGTGGCCCTTGACGTGCCGGCCAATCGCCGGACGGGCTCCCGCCCTGGGCGGAGGAATCCCGGGCTGTGAGGCGGCTGCATCTGGGCCCATGTGCTTCTTTGTTTACTAAGAGCGGAAGCAGTGGCGGGAGAGGGGGTGGGGTGGAGGACGGGCCTAGTGGAGAGATTGAGGAGACTGAAAGAAAAGGGGTAATCTTACGCGTGGAAGAAAAGCTGAGAACCTTGAGTTCGGAGTGTGTGGCGGGGTGTGGGAGGCCTTTGGGAAAGGGTACTGAGATTTTTAACGAAGACAGAGATTGGAATTCCCTGGAGGGGGGGCGGGTTGTTGGGTAATGCTCTTAACCGCCCGGGGCCCCTTCTCCTTCCGTAGGAAAGAACAGACTTGTTAGAAGGAGTTCTGTCCTACTAGGGGAGAATTACGAAGGCTTACTTAGATGTTCATGTAAACTGATTACTTCATACGTTTTGTAAGTGAAAATGAGTTTTTTAGATTAGTATCAAGGGGGTTTGCAGCAAAGTACCTGAAAGACTGATTCTCGTGATTTTTCATTTTCTTTTCAGAAAAGGTTAAGAAATTTCTACAAGAGTTTTTCCAGGATGATGAATTTGGCAAGAAGCAATTCAAGTATGGGAACCAGTTGGTGAGTCTAAGATAAAGTGGAGGGAATGGTTGCTTACTTGAGGAGTTATAAGAGGTGGCCTGGTTTACTTCAGTAAACGTACATTGTAGGTGATCTCTTCAGTGTCCTATTTAATATTTGGTAAGTGGATGTAATTGTACATGCATAACGATCAGAGTGTCTTGTGGAGTTAGTAGGCTGTCTTTTGGGGGCTGAGAAGCAAGTATTGCTTTGTCTCACGCTGCTTTCTCCCCTGTGGGTGACGGACACTGCCGAGCCTGGTAAACAGGGCTCTGTTGCTGTCGCTTCTTTATGGCAGGTTCGACTGGCTCATCGGGAGCAAGTGGCAATGTACATAGACCTAGACGATGTAGCTGAGGATGACCCTGAGTTGGTGGACTCGATTTGTGAGAACGCCAGGCGCTATGCAAGGCTCTTTGCTGATGCTGTACAGGAGCTGCTGCCTCAGTACAAGGAGAGGGAGGTGAGTGGTTGCAGAAAAACACAGAGCAAGGAACAGTTGCTTTCGGGAAGCTTCTCGGATACTGGTGATTTTCTGAGGTGGCAGAAAGAGGGCAGGAATATCTGCCTGGTGCCCTTTATGGTCTTACCTCATCCTGCCACTCCTTTTTTCTGTTTTTCTTTAGGTGGTAAACAAAGATGTTCTGGATGTTTACATCGAGCACCGGCTGATGATGGAGCAGCGGAGCCGTGACCCTGGGGCAGCCCGAAGCCCGCAGAACCAGTACCCTCCTGAGCTCATGCGCAGATTGTGAGTGGTCTCAGTGGGGAAGTGTGTGGGAATTTGTTCTCCAGAACCTTAACAACGACTGTTTTCTCCCCCTAGTGAGCTGTACTTTCAAGGGCCAAGCAGTAACAAGCCTCGCGTGATCCGGGAAGTACGGGCTGACTCTGTGGGGAAATTGGTCACTGTGCGTGGAATTGTCACTCGTGTCTCTGAAGTCAAACCCAGAATGGTGGTGGCCACTTACACTTGTGACCAGTGTGGGGCGGAGACCTACCAGCCGGTATGTATGGAGCAAGGAATAGGAACACGCTTAATGGTTGGTGGTTTCCCGCTGAATTTGTTGTGTCTGCTGATATTTACGTGTCATTTATCAATGTTCATTGTGAAACGTGATTATGTGTTCACCTGTCATTCTTTTTCTGGTCTGTGGTGGTTTTTTCATCCATTTTGTGTTCTTGGTTCCTATCATTATCAGCTCGGGTCGGGTCAAGACATTCTTTGCAATTTGTGGTATATGCCATGAGGAGGAAGTGCTGACTCAGGTGACTGCCTTCGTTTCCTTCTGCTTTCCTTTCTCGCATCCCAGATCCAGTCCCCTACTTTCATGCCTCTGATCATGTGCCCGAGCCAAGAGTGCCAGACCAACCGCTCAGGAGGGCGGCTGTATCTGCAGACACGTGGTTCCAAATTCATCAAATTCCAGGAGATGAAGATGCAGGAACATGTGAGTTTAGGGTTGTGGCCCAGGGAAGGTGGAGTTCAGGTGTCCACTCAGGTTCGCAGTCACTCACGGAGTGGAAGAGAGAAAGTGCAAAAGAAGCTGAGGCAGAGAGGTCACCTAGAGTAGGAGGGAGGTTTAACTTGAACTTCTAGTTGAGTTAGGAAGGGGCAAAGATCTCGGGCTGCCTTCTGCTGTTGGCTGCGCTGAGCTGAGAATAGGGGTGGGCTGCCTGGGCCTGGAAGGTGACGTCCTCGTAGGCTTTGCCCACGTTCTTGCCTGCGGGCCTGTTCCCCTGCAGAGTGACCAGGTGCCTGTGGGAAACATCCCTCGTAGCATCACCGTGCTCGTAGAAGGTGAGAACACGAGGATCGCCCAGCCCGGGGACCACGTCAGTGTCACTGGCATCTTCTTGCCGATCCTGCGCACTGGGTTCCGCCAGGTGCTACAGGTAGGAAAGGGGCTCGCGGGGAAGAGGGAGGATTTCCCTTTGCCCTTCACCCGTGCCGTCCCCACACAGGGAACTGTCGGCGGCAGTGGTGAGGTAGCACAGAGAGTTGTGTTAGGAGCTGAGGGAGTCAGGAACGGGCAAGTGAAAGGGCCTTCGTCCGTACCCTGGCATGTTCCTGCCCCAGGGTCTTCTCTCTGAAACCTACCTGGAAGCCCATCGGGTCATGAAGATGAGCAAGAGTGAGGACGACGAGTCTGCGGCTGGAGAGCTCAACAGGGAGGAGCTGAGGCAGATTGCAGGTGAGGGGCCTGGGGGAGCCTCAGGATGGGGATTTCTTCCTGGCACCCCTCCCCCATTCCACCCCCAAGTACTCTAAACTTGCCCACAGAGGACGATTTCTATGAGAAGCTGGCGGCCTCCATTGCCCCAGAGATCTACGGGCACGAAGACGTGAAAAAGGCTCTGCTGCTCCTGCTGGTGGGAGGGGTGGACCAGTCTCCTCGGGGCATGAAGATCAGGGGTAAGGCGGGGTGGGGGGGCGGGGGGCGGTTGGGAGGGAGCAAGGATGCCAAGGACCAGTGTCCTGTGACACAGATCAAATGTGTGATCGCTTTGTCACAGAGTAAAAGAGCATCTGGGCTTCGTGGGCTCGGCGGGGGTGGGGGACGAGAAGTAAGGCTGGGTATCGGGGAGGATCTCACGAGTATTTGTCGTTGGGCAGCTTGCATGGAAAGAAGGGTCACCTGGGGGTTTAACCCTTCTTCCAGGCAACATCAACATCTGCCTGATGGGGGATCCCGGTGTGGCCAAGTCTCAGCTCCTGTCTTACATCGATCGCCTGGCACCCCGCAGTGAGTAACTGAACCCTGGGAGGGGTGACTGTACCAGACGGTGGGGCCCCGTGCTCGTCTGTTCTTAGGGGCTTGGGGAGGGGAGGTGGTTCTGGTGCCAACACTTTATTTTCAGCTGCCTCAGGAAGGCCTGGACCTGGTGGGTTGGTTGAGCGGTTCCAGTTCAGGCCTCACCTCTGCCCTATTTTTGCTTCTTCCCTTGTTTTTTTCCCTTCCTCAGTGTGTCTGCTTTTTTCCTGTTCCTGATCCTGCCGTTTAGGCCAGTACACCACGGGCCGGGGCTCTTCGGGAGTGGGGCTCACGGCGGCTGTGCTGAGGGACTCGGTGAGCGGAGAGCTGACCTTGGAGGGCGGGGCCCTCGTGCTGGCGGACCAGGGTGTGTGCTGCATCGACGAGTTTGACAAGATGGCCGAGGCCGACCGCACGGCCATCCACGAGGTCATGGAGCAGCAGACCATCTCCATTGCCAAGGCTGGCATTCTCACCACGCTCAACGCCCGCTGTTCTATCCTCGCTGCCGCCAACCCTGCCTATGGGCGCTACAACCCTCGCCGCAGCCTCGAGCAGAATATACAGCTTCCTGCTGCGCTGCTCTCCCGCTTTGACCTCCTCTGGCTGATCCAGGACCGGCCTGACCGCGACAATGACCTACGGTGAGTGGAGCTCAGTGCTCCAGGACACACACACCCCCCGGTGATCTGTAGGGAGGGAGAAGGGGTCAGAAACTCC